TTGGGATTACAGGTGTGAGCCACCACGCCTGGCCCTTGATAAATAATTTGAGGGAGAAAAAATAAGAATCTGATGTCTGTCATCAAAACAGGACACCACCAAATGCTGGAGAGGTATGCAGCAACAGGACTCTGGTCCACTGCTTGTGGGAATATAACAGCACAGCCAAGCTGGAGGACAGTTTGGCAGTTTCTTACAAAACGAAGCATATTCTTACCATATGATCCAGCCATCACACTCCTTGGTTTTTACCCACTGGAACTGAAAAGTTACGTCTGCACAAAAACCTGTGCGTTGATGTTTATAGCAGCTTTATTCATAATTGCCAAAGCTTGGAAGCAACATAGATGTCTTTCAGTAGCCAAATGGATAAACCGTAGTACATTCAAGCAATGCAGTATTATTCAATGTTAAAAAGAAATGAGCTTTGAAGTTATGAAAAGACATAGAGGAAGCTTAAGTGATATAAGTGAAAGATGCCAATCTGAAAAGGCTATATACTGTAGGATTCCAACTATAAGACATTCTGGAAAAGGGAAAACCACAGAGACAGTAAAAAGATCAGTGGTCAGCCGGGCACAGTGGCTCATGCCTGTAATCCCAGCACTTTGGGAGGCTGAGGCGGATGGATCACGAGGTCAGATCGAGACCATCCTGGCTAACATGGTGAAACCCCGTCTTTACCAAAAATACAAAAATTAGCTAGGCATGGTGGCGGGCACCTGTAGTCCCAGCTACTTGGGAGGCTGAGGCAGAAGAATCGCTTGAACCTGGGAGGCGGAGCTTGCAGTGAGCTGAGATCATGCCACGGCACTCCAGCCTAGGTGACAGAGCGAGACTCCGTCTCAAAAAAAACCAAAAAAACAAAAAAAGAAAATCAGTGGTTGCCAGGGGTTGTGGGGAGGGATGAAATCGGTAGAGCAGAGGATTTTCAGGGCAGCGAAAATACTCTGTGTGATGCTATAATGGTGGACAAATGTCATCATAAATTTCTCTAAACCCATAGAATGTACAACACCAAGAATGAACCCTAAGCTATGACTTTGAGTGATAATGACATGTCAATAGAGGTTCAGTGATTGTAACCCATGTACCATTCTGGTGTGGGATGTTGAAGTGTGGTAGACCGTGGGTGTGTGAGAACAGGGAGTGTATGGGAATTCTTTGTACTTTCTGCTCAGTGTTTCTGTTGGCCTGAAATGGCTCTAAATAATAAAGTCTATTTTTTTTTTTTTAAAGATCACATTCGATGTCCATTTTTCTGTTATAGGACCCATTATATACACTCCGTGTTATTGTTATGGGAAAAAAACTTTACTGATTAATATTAGTCCATTAACATAGAAAACCTTGCTGTTATGTAACTACTTTGCGTGTACCAGAAGATTTTTGCCACACCAGAAGAGGGAGAAATCTCATGTTCAAATGCTTCCTTTTTCTCGTAAGCAGCAGACAATGTTTGGCAGATGGTGCTAATGAACAACCTCACTGATCAGTCTTTGTGCTACTGCCAAGCAGCAGCTAACTTGGAACTTTAGTTGTTGTTGTTTTGAGACAAAGTGTTGCTCTGTCACCCAGGCTTGGAGTGCTGTGGTGTGATCTTGGCTCACTGCAACTTCTGCCTCCCAGGTTGAAGTGATGCTCCTGCCTCAGCCTCCCGAGTAGCTGGGATTACAGGCACGCACCACCATGCCCAGCTAATTTTGTATTTTTAGTAGACATGTTGGTCAGGCTGGTCTCGAACTCCTGACCTCAAGTGATCTGCCTGCCTGGGCCACCCAAAGTGCTGGGATTACAGACATGAGCCTCCATGCCCGGCCTGTGAGCCACCACACCCAGCCCAATTTTTTATTAAACCTTTTTATAAAAAGCCACATTTGTGTGTAATTTTGTAACTGGAATAAAATATTTACTACAGAGTACTATTTCATTTCATCTTCTTCCTTTGAAAATATGGAGTTATGGCAAAAAGTATGATTTTTAAGGAATAAGAACCAAATCACTTTAAAGAAAGAATACTTTATTGTAATTGATTGAACCTTTAATATACAATATGGCAAATTTTCTGGGATTTAACTCTAGGACATGATTGCTGCTGGTATTTAGCAAAAGGCTCCGGTTCACACCTAGCACTAATAAAATGCTTTTCTGAATAAAAACGTAACACCAAACAAAATGAATTCAAATATTTTCTTTAAAAAATTATTTTAAAGTTTGTTCTATTCAGCCTAACACAATAAAGGGAGACACCATGGTTTAACATAATTAGCTGATTTTATATACCGCATATCTTTAAGTCCACTTAATAACAAAGTAAGTATATTATTAAGTGATAGAGAACACTCAATATAGCGACTTTTACAGAACTAGGAAATCATTTTTTTTTTTTTGAGACAGAGTCTTGGAAATACATTTCTAAGACAGATTTTTCCAGACACTCATCTTTCATACCCAACCACAGGGTCTAACTCTAAAGAGGATAAAACCAATTACTTTGCTCTCAAGAGCTCATGACTAATGACAGCGTGAATCTATGCTATCAAAACTTGTGTTTCTCATCTGTTATGAGTACTCAGGCGAGATTCAAATATTCTCAAGGAAAGAAACACAGTACGCACCGTGATCGCCTGCTCAGCAACAGCCAGCACTGCATCCCAAACGATCTCATCCCAGGAATTACACGAGGCCAGCTGTGTACACCGGCATTTCCCCCACTGTAGTACTGCAGAAGGTCTCAGTGTCACAAAGAATCCTTTTGTCTTCTTTAATATTTATGGTCACAGCTGTCTTCCCAAGTTGACCCCTACTGCCAGTTCTGAACAAAAGAAAAAATATGAATCAGAATATTATTCAGCAAGTACTACATGAACTACTGAACAATCTGGGCTACTAGTTAATCATCGGTGGCTGTTTATTTGCCAGAATTATATGTAGAGTGCTTCTAAATGGAATACAAGATACTGATCAAAATATCTAGAGAAAAAGAAAAGGTTTTTTTGCAAAGTTAGTACAAAAGGAGTTAAGGCTCATCTGGCTGCGAAATGAACATTATTACTTATAAAGAGGATGAAAGTATTGGGTTTAGGGTAGTAAAATTAAAGCCCCTACCAAAGTGGGCCAGCCAAGAGTGGGTGTCATGTCAGTCTGGGACAGATGTGAACAGGCACAAAACAAAAGGAACAGTTATGAATCCATTCTGATACACTTTCAGAATTAACTACAGATGTCAGCTCTGAAATGTTCACTGTTGTTTACGACTATGCTGTCCAATAAACAGTCACTAGCCACATATGGCTATTTAA